TATATATTTTGAACACACGTTGGATATGATTTGGTGAATAATGTTGTTCGTTTTATTTTTGGAGAGGCCAGAGCCAAACCCCCAAACTTTATAGACGCTCAAAATTTGAACCCAGATCTAGATGAGCCCAAGTCTAGATTGCACATTGGCTAAGCGTGTCTTTGTCCTTCTCTAGTAGCCAATTCACAGACAAAAGCCAACTGCTACTGCTCCCAGCTAATGGACTTACTCTTTTAACCTAAATGGTAGATTGTCTGTGCCTTGGAGCTAACAGTCCAAGTTTCAGTCCCTGGTGACAAACCAACCAGGGAGGTGTCATTATCTGGTTGCTGTTATTTCGGGGATGATGTAAGTGAACAGGGAGCTGTACAAACACACAAAATACAACACCCCTGCTCTAAGAGGTTTCCAGTCTAATTCAGCCAGAGAAATATGATATATAGGGAAAGAAATCAAGACTGCAGCAACTCCCATCCAGTGCCTCACTTGTATTTTCAATGTATTAACATCCACTTTCTCATCCATCTACAAATATCGTGATAGCTGGGGCAAAAATGGCAGAGCTTTTTTCCACAGTGCAGAGTCGCAAAAGGGACTTTTTTTCTCTGCCCTGGTCTTCTTCCATGAAACTCTCCCACAAAGAAGGACACACTTCATTATAACCTTCACACACAGCTCTAGCTCAGTAGGTGCCCTCCAGACCAGATTTATGGACAGCCTGAACATGGAGTCAAAATGCTTTGGGGAGAAAGATGAAGTGGACTATATAAGTCCCCCTCACCCAAAGTCTAAATGGGAGTCATTCACCAGTGCCCCAAAACAGTTGCTACAGGGAGATGGAGGAATGGACAATAGAATTCCTCCATTCCCTCGCACGCTGGACATGTGCGCATCCTACAGAACAGGGGCATCTGATCTTCATGGCTCCACAATGAGTCAAAACCTCAGATCCAAACACCCAAGGAGCTTCAGTCTAGCAGTGCCAAGTTTGGCCTGAGCTGCAATCTCTAGTTTGTCCCCAGCGGGGACTCTGAAGTCCAAAAGAGGCGGGAAAGGAAAAGAGTCTGATTGTCTTGCAGCCCTGTGTCCATGAGCGAGCTAGTGAGCCTAGTCAAGAACTTTCTAGAGCTTCCAATGGCTGGTCTCTTTTTACGTTTCCCTTTCCTTGTGCATGCACTGCCGACTGCAAGGACTCTTAGCTCAAGTTCATTGTGGGCTCATTCAGCCCCTTGTTTTGCTTCTACCTTCAAGTTCTCTGGGTAACCTGTAGCCCCGTCAGAATTATAAACCAAACCATGAGGTAAATTTCAGCTACTCCCAAGGGCCTTACCTTTCAGTGTCGGTTGGGGGGTCTTCCCCCTCCTGATTCTTGCTCTCGGGGTCTCCATGGCACTCCTCAGAGTCTGACATTTTATTTCCTTGCTAACAACCTTGTCAAATCGACAGGCTCTGCAAAGAGCTCTGTAAGAGTACAGTATGTGTGTGCGCGCGTGCGTGTGTTCACTTTCATACCACCCTTCCTGTCCTCTAACCCAGCACAAATAATGACGGAAGCCTCTGAGTTTTGAGGGGGGGGTTGGGAGTTTTTACTTTCAGGTTATATTTAAGGTTTTGTTTCAATCTACTGCCTAAAAATCAGGAAGTACTAACCCGAGCTGCAGTGGAAGCATGCGGCAACAGCCACTCGGAGGGCCTGTTAGAATAGAAAGATGTCTGAGAGACAGACCATAGCCACACATGGTGCAGTAGGTACTAAACTACTAAATGGCTGCATCTTTAAATGGCAACATTCGATAACATCCACCTGCCAAGGATTGGTTCTGTCCGGGCCACAACACCTTGGCCACAAAGCCACTGAAGCATCCCTTTGTCAGAGTGCAAGACTGTCCCAGCCTCTGCCACTATCATCTCCAACACACACACACAGGCCCACTTCTGGCCAAGCCCAGAAGCCCCCTTTGCCCAAGGGTGTTCTGCTAGGGGTTTTCCCCGGGGGTGGGGGTGGGCTTTGCAACTCTGCGCAGCCCCCTTTCCCCAATCTAGCCAGGCTGTAGTGCTTGGTGAATTTTCTTGTGCATGCTGGTGCCCACATAAATACTTTCAGGCACTCGCACAAGGGCAAGGGATTCTTGAAGGCAAAACCAGACAATGTTCAGAAGCAGCTGAGCGATCCAGTCCACCTAGGCTCAAAAGTTCACTTTCGGACGTTCCTGTGACAGTCACAGGTAACAAATCTTTTCGCCAACAGAGCTGAGGCTGGCGTGGGTAAGGGAGCTCCTCTGTTGTGTACGTGTTGGCCAGGAAAAGACATGAACTGGATATTTTCTCTGTCCTGAGTGTGGGAGAGCCACCAAGAAAAAGAAACACTTGAATCAGATTTCTGTGCCCAATTGAAATACAACCAACAGAGCTGCTATGTGGAGATGCAATTGCACAAGGGTGTGCTGTGCTCAGTCAGCAAGGCTCAGATTGCAGAATTGCTTTAAAAAAAAACATGCGGTGGAGTACAGGGGAAGTGGCAACAGCCCCTTCCTATTACACAGAAGTTCAAATTCAAATCTCCAGTAGAATATGTCCTGCCAAAAACCACCCTGCCTCTCCGCTATCAGGCCTGGTACCCACCTCCTACTTATCTTGCTGACCATAGCAAGGCCTGGTTGTCTCTTCCCCATCTTGGGGGCCCTCTTCAGGAGTCCTGGGTGGCCAGTCCTTCATCTTATATCTTTTGTTGGTGGGGGGAAGATACAATTTGATCACCTGCTGTCCAGGAGAGCAGCTGAGGGGAAGGGCTAGCAAGTAGAGCCCCCTGCATTGTTCCCCAGCCACGAAGGGCACCCTGAAAGTTTCCCAGCTCTCGAGCTTGGGTTTATGGGGTGCCATATGCCCTGAGACACAGTGCAGAGTTTCTGTGGTGGGAGAACTCCCTGCCCTCTCCCAGGAGATATTGGAGGTTTGGAGAGGGGTAACTGCCCTTAGCTGAAGCTAACAGAACATGGGGGACTGGTTTAGCTTGTGCTCCTTGCACAGCCAGAGAGGGAGCCATCGAACCCACAAAGGAGTGGGACAGGGAAGTGGCTAGAACTTACCTCATTCCCTCTACAGCAGTGATAGTAAAAGAGGTTTCAGGGCTCAAAGTGAGCAGGAAAGGAGGGAGAGAAGCCAGCTGGTGTTTGGATTTCCCTGCTTCCCAAACATCTTCTTGGAGCAGAAACCAGGCTGCTTCCAGCAGTGGGAGTGGGACATTTCACCTGGCTCGGCTACATATGGGCTCTGAGTACAACCTCCGGGAGGGGAAAAACGGGGAACAGATTTCTGGATTGAGACATGCAGGGTTTGGCTCTCTTCTTGTGGAAGAAGAGGAAACAAGAGAACCTGGAGGGGCAACAGCGGCTGGCAGTAGAGCACACAGCGCCCATTTCTTTCCTGTGGCCCCTCTCACTGCATTAATCCCCTGCACTCTTTCTCAACCTGCTCATGCAACAAGCATCTTCTCCTGCAACCCCAAAGAAGCTCAAAAAGCACAGCAGTCGCCAAGGCGCTTTCCCCAGTAGGCCTGGCTAGGTGGTGGGGAGGCAAAGGGCGTTCCCTCTATGGCTATACAGTGCCTATGCAAAGGGACCCCCATCCTCTCCACAGTCTCTAGGCGTCTCCCATTGCTGAAGGGGTTTTGCTGGTGTGTTTATCTCCCCGTCTTTGCTCTGGGTGGCAGCTTAGTTTTAATTGAGCTCTACCAAACACCCATACTGGGCCCATTCTCCTCCCATTGAAGTGAGTGGAAGTTTTGCCACTGACTTCAATGGGGGCTTGCCTGCTGAGAAGAGATTTCTGGTTTTAGATAAGCAGAGCTTGCAGATAGATGTGAACCAGCCCAACAAGAAACCTATTATCCATCTTATCCTATAGATACGTATACAAGGAATGTGCCCTCCCTTGCCTTATCCATTCTGTCATGGCATCTTACGGGGGAGGACACATGAACGGTACTTATTAATTACTAATGATTCATCAGGATGCTATCAAGATATGGCAGATCAAAGGAAAGATGCTTAAGAGGGAAGAGGGTCTCCATCGCTACCATCAACTTTTGGCATAGCCTAGTGAGATACAGAGTGATAATCTCATTACAGCTCTAGTCTGAAAAGGTAATTATGATCCAAAAAGTGATAGGGAAGAAGAAAATAAGTGGGCTCCTGATGTTTCATATTTATTCTTTCGTTGGCTCCCACAGCTATTTGCTAAGGTTACAAGAGCTCCTAGGCTTCTGCCATTGAAGACTTAATCTGGTGAAGATCAACCTGGGGTTCTTTCTGCTTTGAACACCCTCAGTCACAAGAGAGAGTCTGGAATCAGAACACAGTGAGACACTTGTCCTGGACGGATAAAACAATGAAACTGCAGTTCTCACTTCACCTGTCAACAGCAGTTGAGAGTAGAATGAGTTCTCTAACCTCCACTCTAAGGCATGGGAGCAGCTCCAAGAGATAAAAAGGTGCCATTTTTACAGGTGAATTTTCTGATAATAGCCCCCACTGTTTAAAGCAGATGACAGCCTGTGGGCCAGACTCTGATCTCAGTTACACCTCTGTAAATCCAGAGTAACTCCATTGACTTTGACCTCTCTCTTGTTCAGCACTTTTCATCTGTAAATGTCAATGCATTTTACAAAGGAGGAGATAATCTTAGCCCCATTTTACAAATGGGAAAACTGAGGTACAGAGATGCAGTGACTTGCCTAAGTAGGCCAGTAGCAGAGCTGGGAATAGAACCTAGGTCTCTCAAGTCCTAGTCCAGTGTGCTAGCCATTAGACTGCATTGCCTCATTAGTTAGCCTATCAGAGCTTCTAAGTTCTGGTTTTGGCACTCCAGCAAGACTCTTACTAGCGAATAGGGTCACAGTAATGGCAAGGCCATAATTCATGCAGTTTGAACATCTGCAATCTCTATAGGGGTATTTAATAGCCCCTCCCACAGCAGGAAATAAGTGGTCATGTGACACAAAGTACATTTATGCCTTGGTCTCCAAGGCTAAAATTTCAACCATACTTTCAAAGCTTTATTTACACAGTTAAGATGCCTTTGAAACACCAGATCCTACCAAATTACAGGGTTAAACTGCATTTGATTTCAGTTCATGCCACTAGCATTGTTTCAAAATGTAGTTAAGACATTGCATGATTTAAAATAGTTGTTTCCATAGCAACAGTAGGGAGTGGGGCTGAAAGTAGGTCTTGTGTCTTGGATTGCTTTGTGAAATGTGACCCTGGGCTCAGGAAGTTTAGCCCTAAACAACGCTGCTAGAGAGCTGGTTTGAAAAATAGGTGGCAGGAGGGATGGAGGAGGAAACATTTGGAAATTGACTAGGAAATACCAGGATTACAGTGAACAGCTGCATGAGATTTAGGATTCACTAGTCTCAAACATCTTCTTCCTGCCCTCCATGCCAGACTTCTCCTCGATGTTCTTCCTCCAGTCACCCACGTCACGCAGATCCTTCTCCTGTTGGCATTAGGGAAAAAAAAAACAATGGAAGTACTGACAATGCTGGGTGGTATTCATGCCCATCCTTGTATTCTTTAGCGAACATCCATCCCTGATTCAGAGTAACAGCCGTGTTAGTCTGTATTCGCAAAAAGAAAAGGAGTACTTGTGGCACCTTAGAGACTAACCAATTTATTTGAGCATGAGCTTTCATGAGCTACAGCTCACTTCATCGGATGCCTACTGTGGAAACTGCAGAAGACATTATATACACAGAGACCATGAAACAATACCTCCTCCCATCCCACTCTCCTGCTGGTAATAGCTTATCTAAAGTGATCATCAAGTTGGGCCATTTCCAGCACAAATCCAGGTTTTCTCACCCTCCGCCCCCCCACACACAAACTCACTCTCCTGCTGGTAATAGCCCATCCAAAATGATCACTCTCTTTAAAATGTATATGATAATCAAGGTGGGCCATTTCCAGCACAAATTCAGGTTTTCTCATCCTCCCACCCCCCACCAAAACCACACACACAAACTCACTCTCCTGCTGGTAATAGCTTATCCAAAGTGACCACTCTCCTCACAATGTGTATGAAAATCAAGGTGGGCCATTTCCAGCACAAATCCAGGTTTACTCACCCCCCCCCCCTTTTTTCAAAAAAACACACACACAAAAACTCACTCTCCTGCTGGTAATAGCATCCCTGTGTAGGACAGATACCACCTGGGATTCCAGTTAGCAAACCTAATATCCCTAAGGGGTGAGATTCACCCCTGTGCAGAGGACTGGCTCAAAGCTTATGCCGCACAAACCATATTTTGAAGGACTTGATTGGGATTTAAGTGATGTCTAGGCCTTGTGCTGGTCCTTAGTTTGGGGTGAAATGCACCCCTAATGCCTTTCATCCCACAGTGCTTTCCAAACCATCCATACAGAGATTGTTTCACCCACTGTTGAAATGCAGCCCCCTCTGATGTGGAATGAGGCAACTTCTTTAAGAGTGCAGAGCAACTCGGCACAACAGTTTGGGACAGGAAGTGAAGAAGAGTTTATCTAATAAGAGGAATTTAGGTTAGGAAGATATTACCCCGAACTGGAAGTTGATCAGGACTCTAGAGATACATCATAAAATCATAGACAGCTGGGCCAGGAGAGAGCATCTGGATGATCTAAGTTGGAATTTTGCAGGTCTGCTCACTATGACATTCTTGCTAATGTCACCTAATCTGTAACTGGAGTGGAATATCCTCCCCTACATACCAACCACGAATGGGCAAAGTAAAATAGTTTGACACCAAGCTCTTAATCCGTCTACAGATGGGGAGGCCACTAAAATACAGAGTTTTACCACTTGGTAGTAAAAAGTGTATGGCAGTGAGAGAATCCCAAACCGTCTCCCACTGCGTGGCTTTGGGTCACGGCCATGTGTACATCTTCATGACAGCTGGGAGGATTTAGAGATAGGAGGAAATAGGGAAATGACCATGTGGCAGAGACAGGACCACTCTCAGGATGTTAGAAAAGGCTAGAGCAGCCCAATGCCAAGTGCAAACAATACAAAGGTTGGATAGCAGAAGTACATAAGGCCAATGATTGGGAGACCGCAGCCTTTTCTGAGTAGCCAGGGTCTTTGGTCCAGAGATACATGGGCCAACTGGTCTGCGTGTGTGTTACAGGTCCCCTGTGCGCCCAACCCACAAGGAGGAGAGTCTACTACGGCTGCAGGTGAGGAGCCAAGCTCTTTAGTTTAAGCTGTTATAGCTCATGCTTTTAGCTCTGGGGGTCCCCAGTTTAGTTCGCAGTGCATTGGTCAAGATGTGGCTGTCACACCTGTACACAGGGAAGTCTAATTTCCAGCCTATAATGCCTGGATCCTATTACAATAGGGGAAGTTGTGTGGTACCTTCTCAGTGTCCTCCTTCTTGACCTGCTTCAGGTTAGCTCGAAGGTCCATGCAGACTTTGTGTTTGGAGCCCAGCAGGGCACGCAGCATAGCGTCAGCAGACATGCGGACCCTACGCAGGGGTGGCCTCTTGAACTTGCCCCTCAGGTCAAACAGTTTCTGGCTCAAGTCTTCAAGCTACAAAAAGAAAGAGGAGACGGAGAGAGAGAGGGAAATGATGTGGTGAGATGGACCCACAGCAGAGGACGAATGGACTGGCGCACACACAAGTGCATATAGCAGAGTGTGATAGGAAGGAAATGCCATCTATGAAGGCAAAGGATTAGTTTGACAAAGCTCAGGCAAACACAGAAGACAGGGGAAGTGCAGAAGACATGGGCATTCAGGAGAGCGGGCAGGTACAGGGATGGTGTAGCAGGAGCATAGGAGGCAGATACATGCTGTGGAGTGGGACAAAGCATGGGGCTGGGCACACTCCATTGATCTCCACGTCAGTAGAGATGTGCGTGCCAGGGAAGATTACCTCTTTGGTGGTTTTCTGTAATTTAGCCTCAGTGTCATATCTTTCCTCATCCACCACCTCTATCTTCGCATGAAGCTTTTTGCATACCTCCTGCAGAGAAAGAGAAAAGGATGTGGACCATTGGAAAGCATGTGACTCACACCACCTACCCTTTCCACCACTTCCTCCAGTTCTGGAAGAGCCCAGCTCAGGTGCAGCTCCAAATCTCTGTACTTGGGATGGGCCACCTGGGATGCATCTGAACCAGTTCCTGGTCTCTCTGCTCCACCTGCTTTCTAAGGCTCCCGCAACTTAACGCAATTGACAAGTTGGCTTACCCATTGGTTGGGGATTCCCCTGGCACAAGGGAATTCCCAGGTTGCAAATGGCCACTATAGCCAGCCCCTCCTCTGCCCACTGGCCCCAGGGCAGTAGGCATGTCAGGAGGAGCATGACTGAGGCAAGCAGGTGTGGTCAGAGTGCTGCTGCTGGAATGACCCCTTGGCAGCTCTAGGCTGCTTCTCAGGGCCGCACTTCCACCAAGGGGGCAGATGCAGGAGAGACAGAAAAGAGGCTTTCAAGCCATTTTTGCCTCCCGCAGCTCAGCTGGCTAAGCTCTACTCTAGTACAGCTCAGAAACTAGTCCAAATATTGCTCCATGTGGCTTTGCATGAGACTTTTGCATTTAAACTTCCTCAGCTGTAATTGATTTCCAGTCAAAGATCCAAATACAGTAGTGCGTGAAATGTCTGGTGCCCACCCCCTAGGAAAAGTAGTGCATTTAACTGAGTAGCATAGAATGTGCTCAAGCAAGCCAAGAGAATTCCCCTGTGCCCCTCACGTGGGAACGATGAGTTGTCCTAACATGGAGTCTTTGGGGGAACCTGGAGGACTCCTTTCTCCTCCACCTTAAAGAAAGATTGCATTGGGCAGGAGGATCTCTTGTATAAATGCAACCTAGTATGACTGTGAGTTGAAAGGTCCCAAACAAAATCAACTTGATACCTCACCTCTGAGTTCATGATCAAAACTATTGGACATATGGAAACAGCTGAGCAAGCTTCCCTCTCCAACGTTTTGAGTGGTACATTCAGAGTTGACCAGCCTACTTCAGAAATTTTTAAAAAGCCAGAATCCATGTCTGGACCCACAAGTTTTCATCTCTACTTTGTGGGGGAGAGAACACCTCAAATGCACTATAGAGCCAGGACTTCACCTCGCACTAGCTACTACGCCAGAAGTGGAGCAGAGGATGTAGAACATGGGTGCTCAAACTGTGAGTCATTACCACCAGGGGGCGTATGAGGAGATGACAGGGGTCACAACCACCTGCCTTTCCTAAATTCCCAAAGAGGAGGCACGTCCCTGCTCAGTCGCAAGGGTTTCATGGGGTTGAAAAGGTTGAGAAGCACCAATATAAGGAAATGGGCAGTGTGTTGGGTTGAGTTGGAAGAGCTATATACGTGGGGTAAGGCAGAACCCGAACTTTTCTGCTCTTGCATGGGAGAAGATGGAAGAGACAAAGCTGTTACCTGCAACTCCTGCATGGAGTGCGGGAGTGACAAAGGAGGACAGTGCTCGGCAAGGTAATTGGCCTTTTCTGCCTCTTTAGCTGCTGTTTCTTTCTCTAGGAGAGTAGCAGCAATCTGGAGCATAACACTCTGGAGGGGGAAAAAATAAGATAAATCCAGTTACTTGTCTGAGTGAGCAGTGACAGTGAGGGAGGGAGCTCCCAGCTACTCCAACCCCAGCAGGAATCACTGAAGGAGTGCTCACCACAGGGGGGTCATGGGCACTCCAGTCCAACTTGTTGCCCACAGGAGTTGCTTCGTGTAGGAGATGGCATAGGAGTGCTGGATGTGGGGAGCTCACAGCTACTCCCAGGACCAGCTTCTTCCAGCAAGAGACCCTGGCCGTAGGGAATGTTGTAGGAGCAGTGATATGGGAAGCTTCGGGCTACCCTAGCTGTTGGCTGGCCTGGAGGAGGATTCACCAATGATGGGGAACTCTCAGCTGTTCCAGTCCCAACAGGAGGCACTGTCTGGAATGGGGTAGGAGGGAGCGCCAATTTTAGGAGCTCCTGGTTTTTGCAATGAGGGGACTGATGCAGGAGCACTGGCTGGCTCAAGAATGGACAGTAGGATGGTTGTGGACAAATCCCATACATCATGCAATATCAGGACTAGCACGTACCTTCAGATGCTGCCGGCGGGCAGTGATTGCCCTCTTCCTTTTCTACAGGTGGGAAGAAAGACAGACAAGGCAGGTCACCACGTGCTTCCTCCCCACCCTTTCCCATATAACTCTAATGACAGTTTTAGCATCTATATTCCTCCCCAGAGCCTGCCCAGAATGGGAAGCAAGAGAAGAACTGCATCCACAGCACAAAGGGATCTGGCATCAAGCCCCCAGCCAAATCCTTGGCAATTAGTCCCCAAACTAGAAGACACTGACAGTTTGCTGCAATCCATATCTGCCAGCAGAGCTCAACACAGATCTTCCCTGCTAACCCCAGTGTTGCCAACTCTAAGCATTGAAAAAACATGAGTCAAACCTCAAATCCTGATTGGCGTAGAAATCATGAGAGTTCTAGCTTTTCTCCGCAACCAGGAGAGTTGGGAATGTGTGTGCTTTAAAAACTGAAAGATGAGATTATTATCCCAGGCCTCCAGGAGCTGGGGCTTTAAGAACACCAAATATTGTGAGACTCTATCAAAATTATGAGAGATGGTGACTCTGTTAAAAAGTCAATAGTACTAAAGGGCCAGTGAATGGAATGCAGGAGAAAGAAGCATGGAGGAGGTAGCATGTTAGAATTAATCCCACTTTCCAACTCATCCCTGGCTAGCAGTTAATTATCTTTCTATTTATGGCTTTAAGGCTGACTGGGGAGACAGGGCTGTGGGGGATGAGAGGATTCCTCATCACAGGAGCATGAGCACAGCAGTGGGGCTGTGCATGCAGGGAAGCACCTTTATTCATCACTTCAAGGGGACAAGCAGAGCAGCAGGAGGAAGGACAAAAGCCAGACTTACCTCCCTCCCCACTCCGCCTCACCCTTGCATCAAGAAAGAGTGGGACATAGCCAGCTTTGTCACTGCAGGGGAGTGAGAGAAGCACTGGGGCTGTGGGAGTGGGGAAGCCAGATTCATTGCTCCATGAGGAAGAAAGAGCAAAGCCGAAGGGGGCCATAGGAGCTGCCAGGCAGGAGGCAGGCATGCAATAATGCCATCTACAACTCCGTAGCAATACACTCCATTGCCTTGTGTGCATTGAGCTGGCCATGAACCTACGCCCCGACCCCTTGTTTGTGACAGTACCTCGGTTACCTGACTATCGTTTGGGCGGGGAGGATTGTGACAATAAGGAATTGCTCTACAGGACAAGAGTCTAGGTCCAAGTTTCATGCCTTGGCCAATAACCCTGATGTTGCAGAGGAAAGTGAGAATCCCTCCCTCATTAAGCACTTGGGCAATCAGGTAATGCTGCCCATGGGGGTGGGGCTGCAGGAGTACAGGAGGCAGGTTGCATTGGGCTTTTTTTAAAATTAATATGAAAAAGAAATCCTCACTGAGCAATTTAAATGTCTTTCAAATGGATACAAAGCACCAAACTTTGTTCGTTTCCAGGCTACATGGGCTAGCAGCAACAATTCTATTTACAAAAGCCACAACCTCTGTCCCACACTGCACTGCAGCTGTTTCCTGAGCATTTCATCACGGAGATTGGGTGCGTCTGAGTGTGGTTGGGGTGGGGGAAATACACACGTTTGATATGCATTTATGGGGGAGGGGAAGAAGCATTCTGTGCTTTATGGAGGGCGGGGGGGAGGAAGGGGATAAAAAACAGCAGCTCAGTAGATATTTACATTTCAATTGCACCTTTCATTCCGAAAGAGCGCAGAGCCTGCTATGGAATATATAAAGATCACTTCATCATGGCAGAAAGGCAGCCACCTCTGAGGTGGAATGCAGCAGCAGATTAGCTGCACACAGTGGCTTAGAACATCTGAAGAACACCCTACACACAACTGAAAGTGCAGAGGGAGAATTAGAGAGGTGAGTTATGGTGACTTCAGCTGGAATTTGACCAGGATGTTGGTGCTAAAACTTTTACTTTGAAAAGAAGTGCCAGGGGATTTCCTTCAAACTAGATTTCAGTGGGTGTTAGCTTAAGTAATGACTGACTAAAAACTGGGTAAGGACCTCATGATTTGATCTGATGGGTGAGCAGAACCTAGGTTTTACCTGTCATCTGAACGGCAGCACCCCCAGCACCTGAGTGTCCCCCTAGCCCTGTGCTGTGGCATTGGTGCAAAAGGGAATCAAAGCACCAACATGCAGTGCTTGGGGTTTCCTTGGAGTTCTCCCCTATCCAAGTAATTACAGACCCCATTCTGTGTCGCTTAGGAGATCGGGTGAGGTTCCACCATGAGGCGACACACTGAGCAGCTTGCGAAGGGTATTCTGGACGATCCTCACAGAACCAGCATCAAGCCTTGCAGTGAATTGCTTCCACTCCTCTACTTTACTATGGGGCAATTCATCCTGATACTGAGTCTGTAACAGCTCTCTGGGCTAAATCCACTCCAGCTCAAGGCCTATGCATGACATATGCCTACAAAAACAGGGGTAGAATTTCACCCAGAGTGAGTCAGAGACAAGCCAGACACAGCAGAAGGAACAGGTAGATTCTACAAGGAGGGAGGAATTCTTCTGAGGGGATTCCACATGTGCCCCTCCCCATCCAGGCTTACACTGCTGAGGGGACTCTTCAAAATCCTTCATAGCCATTCCCATGCTGGCCAGAGAGTTGGGCACAGCATGACACAAAGTGCTGCAAGGGCCTGATCCTGTTCTGACCGGAGTCAAGAGGAGTTTCTAAGCAGGCAGCCAGAGTCAGGTCACAGAGAATCACCTTCAAAAAGGGATTAGACAAGGATTTGTGGGTGCAAAGGGATCAACATCGTGCGCCACAGCTAGCTGAGCCAGAGAGGATGCACCTCTGCGGCCATTCCTGTCTCTATAATTGCCTCTGTTGTGGTAGAAGCTACGTGGCTAATGGACCATGAACACCTTCCATTCAGCTGGGGCAGCAGGTACATGGACATCTTCCACAGCACCATCTTGGGAAGCAGGGATGCTCTTGGGGGAAAATCCAGCCTGCAAACTACAGCCAAGAAACACACCTCCTACAAAATACTATCTCCTGCCTTTCAGCTGCTGGGCACTTGTCCTTTTAAACCCTTTTAGTCCACATATTTAGTTAGGGGAGTTTTGAAGATCCACATTTCCTTCCAGGAGCTGGTCTTTTTAACAAGATAATACAAAGCCAAATGTGATACTATCCCCATGCATCATTACTAAAAGAAAAATCCCAGAGAGAGAGAGAGAGAGACTTACTTCTTCACTGTTCAGGGAGAAAGAGACAGAAAAAGGGAGGGAGAAAAGGAGAGAAAAAAGGAGATTAGCATCAGAACAAAAAACAAGAGAAGGAATTTAGAAAAAAAAGTCTGCACTTATTTTAAAGACTAAAAAGCAAACCAATGCCATCATGTTAGAGACAAAACCAGAAACTTACTCTGACATCTTTGTTTAGTGGATTTAGAACCTGCAATTAAAAAGAAATGTAACAATTATTTGTGTTCAAAGTGAATTTCTTGGATTAATCAGAAAAGGACAGTTTCATCAGAAAGGGGAAATGGTTTGTGCTTGTTTTCCAACTTCCGCAAAATCCAGTTTCCTAGAGAAGTAGGCTGCAGGTTATGGAGAGGTGCCAATCATGTTCTCACCCAAAACCAGGGAAACTACAGCACCCAGAGTCTTTTGGATTGGAGAAAATGCTTAGGGAACATGACAGCCATGGCAAAAGGTGTGATAGGACCACTGCAGCCCCCGCCCCTCCCTGGCTTCGACCTTCTTTGATCACCCAGGCATCAAGCGTGCTCTGGGAACACGCTGGGCTACCTGGTGACTCATCATGTACTTATTTTATAAGCACTGTAGAGCAGGGGATTGAACCCAAGTCCCTTCCTCATCACAGGCTTCCTGAGTGGCCTTGGCAAGTCGCAATCCCTCTGGGCCTCAATTCCCCAATATTTACAATGGGAATAATAGCACTTCTGTACCTTTCCAGGGCACTGTGGGGATAAATCCATGACTGATGTGCGGCACTAATGGGGACCAGAGAAGAGCCATAGATAGGGTGGTCAAGGCACAATGTTTTCATTGGTTGTGTACAGCTCTGAGCACAGTGGGGTACCAAGATGATACAGCAACATAAATAATCCATCATAGATTGTGCCTGCTAATCCCGGAATGCAGCTATTAGGAGATTTGCGAAGGCTGGAGAAGGATGTAAGAAGTTAATTTGGACAAAGGAAGAGAGAAAGGTCAAGGGGGAGGCGCAGAAAGCCACGCTGATCTCCCCAAGGAAACTTTATCCTGGAAAATGCACAGGGGCCATCAGATAACTGGGGAGAAAGTGCTTCTAAAAATGGTCAGGGCAGCTTACAAGGAGCTCCAGCTGTCTCCTTGGGCTGCAGCCTTTCCCTGTGCCAGCCCTCATGAGTCAGGGAGGTCAAGGCAATGCAGTGGCAACCACGAGAGGCAACAATACAGACAAGAGACTTGGCATCTGAGGAATGTGGGAGCTCCAGGCAGGTTATTTTTAAATAAAATTCTCCCTGCTCTTTTTAATGACTCTTAAATGGCAAGTGGAAAGGAAGCCAGACAAGAAGAGCCTCACATTCTCTTCTATTTGACTAACTATATGAGCATTCGCAAAAAGAAAAGGAGTACTTGTGGCACCTTAGAGACTAACCAATTTATTTGAGCATGAGCTTAAAGCTCATGCTCAAATAAATTGGTTAGTCTCTAAGGTGCCACAAGTACTCCTTTTCTTTTTGCGAATACAGACTAACACGGCTGTTACTCTGAAACCTGTCATTATCTGAGCATTTGCTCCCTGTTGCCTTAACTTGCCTGTTTAACACATGGCATGCAAAAATCGACAGCAAATCAGAACTCTCTACTGGGAGACCTAGCTAGAGGGTTCCATACTCTGCAGATCTATTCAGTGTGGGAGAAACCCCTAGCACCTGATCATCAGCTGGGGTAAATCAGGGTAGCTGATGGAGTTATGCTGATTTATACCAGCTGATAATTTGGCCCCTATAGCCTTGGGAACTAGATCCAAGCTCAGTTTTAAGCATTGTGGGTCTTTGCTTTTCCTTTAACTCAGTTACATGAGCAAAAGCAATTGACGGGGGGGGGGGCGATAGAATCAAATATTGAGGGCATACCTGCAGTGAACAGGAGGGACCATTTCGGACGTGACCAATAAATACAAACAGACATACCTGAGAAAGCTAAGGCTGACTGAACTACTGGAGGTGGGGTGTCAGGTTAATTGGAGCTTTAAAGCTTTCCCTCCTCAGCTGTGCCAGCAAAAGTTCAGACACACCAGCACTTATCTCAAACTCAAAAAGCAAGTTCCATTCCCCCTCACTCCTGTAACAGCAAGCTGGGTCAGTAAGAGACATGCAAAGGGCTCACCTAAGTCCCAAGGAGAAAAACAGACAGCACTGGTGGAAGGACAGGATCAACTGGCAAGCCACAGGCAGCTGGCTCAGGGAGGAGGTATAAATGGGTTTCTCCCATGGCTCAGCAGAAAAGCCACCTGCTCTTTAAGGGCATGGAGATCTCCTCAGACCAATGATGTGCAAGGGTCCAGAAATACAGAGCACCTCCCTTGGCTGGAACAGTCGATCCAGCCAGCATTCAAGGCGTCTTGGAGGAGAGAGAAGCTGCAGTGACACAAGAAGTTTCTATAGGGGAGGGAGATGGAGGTTTACAACTTTGTGGCGGGGTGAATTGCAGTGATCATGGAGGAAGGAACTCGTCATTAGCAGCATTGATAAAGGCACAGCATTTGCATGGCTCAAAGGCAAGAACATTCCTTCTTTGGACGCTCACTCAGGTTGGGGTGAACCCCCCTCCTGCGCATGGGGTTCAGCAGTTTCAATACCCCATCGAGGTGTCCCAGGTGGCCAGGAGTGGAGGTCAGACAAAACTTTCCAAGCAAGGAGTGGGGGAAGGTGGTTAACGGAAGGTTCAAGGTCATGGCCCACTAACATCAGAGTCAGACAAGAGAGGGCTCTGGCAGGCAGATCAGGACTATTTGTAGCAGGGCACGCATCTGCAAAGGTCTAGGACCAGCTGTTCCTTAACAGAGGCCATGTCTACCCTACAATGGCTAGAGCACCATAGCGTAGACCCTTCCTATATCAACAGAAGGGGGGTTTCCGTCAACGTAGTTAATCCAGTAGAATTCTTCCATTGACTTACTCATGTCTACACCAGGGGCTAGGTCAACCTAACCACAGCACTCAGGGCACAACATTTTTCTAAGCTCCGAGCGGCATAGCCAGGCTGATCTAATTTGAAAGTGTAGGCCAGGCCTAAGTGTGAATTAGGGATGTAAGGCCTGGTCTACATTACGAAGTTAGGTCGACGCAAGCTACCTTGCATTGACCTAGTTGTGCATGTGTCTACACTTAAATTTATCTCCCACCGATGTAAGGGCCCTGTTATTGCAATCCAGCAACGCCACCTCCTCAAGCAGTGCTGAGCCCTGGCTGGTGTCCTGAGGTCAATGCAGTGTGAGCATAGACACTGAGTTACCTACGTCAACTAGAACGGTCTTCCTAACACGGACCACTCTGGTCACCATTGTGACTCCGCTGCCCAGGGGTCACGGAGACCAGAAGCCCACTCCGCCCCACTTTAAAACTCAGTGAATTGTTAAAATACCTTTTCCTGACTGCTGAGCACACTTCGCAACTCTCCATTGTTGTGTGCACCACGACAGCTACAGGCTGCAGACGCATGCCAGCCTGGCGTAGACAGGAGATATTGGACCTTCTGGGCGGTGGGGAGCAGAGACTGTAGAGTCACCGCTCCAAACCAACCATAGGCATGTTGACGTCTACGAGCAGATTGCGCGGGGGATGCAGGAGAAGGGGTACGACCGGAACCAGCAGCAGTGGCCCGTGGAAGAGGAAGAACTGCACAGGCATACCAGGAAGGTCAGGAAGGCCAACAATCAACCCAGCGCCAAGCCGCAGACCTGACACTTTAACAAAGAGCTGCTCGCCATCCTTGGCGGAGACCCACCACAGCCCCGCACACCACTGTGGAGACCTCTGAGGAGCCCAAGTCACAGGCTCCTGCTATGAACAGTGAGGATGAGCAGGAGGAAAAAGGAGGATGGGGGACCAGCAACTGGGGGGTTCCACCTATGCCATGAGCCTGCACCTGTTTTGAGGCTCTACCGCAGTCCAGGCAGTCAAGCACAGATAAGCCCATTGCAGGGGTAGGAACCTCAGATAAGTGTGTAAATTTATTCCCCATTACAAGGATGTACTGACGATACCCCCCACTTAACAGGACACAGCTATCAGCTTTTCATTACTTTACTTTTAGATTTTAGACTTTACATTACTTTTCATTCAGACTAGAAGAGGTAGCGGTACAGCAGAGAGAGGTAGTTATCTGCTTTACATTCCCCTGTAGAGGTAGGCATGGGGGACCGTGCGGAGCAATTTGTTTACATACATAGGGATGTCCCTTGAATCTTCCTGAGAGATCTTAATATAGCTTTCATGCAGGTATTCTGCAATCCCCTCCCGAAGGCTTCTAGAGACGGCTGCCTTATTTCTTCCTCCGTGGTGGGACACTTTCCCACACCAGTTGGTGATAACTTCGGCAGGCACCATTGCAGTACACGGGTAGCAGTGTACAGACCCAGCTGACTTTGGAACTCCAGAAAGCAACTGTTTTCTCTGTGCCTTTATTACCCATAAGAGTGAGATATCAGATAAAATCACCACCCCCTGTGGAAACCAGTGCTAGTATTCATTGCCACTGCCCTATACGCCAATATCTACTTACATGCAACAGAGTAATTCCTTCCTCATTTCCCTCACCCCGGCAGGCCACACTCACCACGGCTGGCCCAGTGAGTGGCGCCCCGCACAAGCACTCTGAAGCAGAAGTGGTAATAAGCGGGTCTTGTTTAAAACTTTAGGGGAGCAAGGGAAGGAAGTTCTGAACCTGAACGTTCACTTTCCATTGTGACCGTACTGACAATGGCACCTCTGTGGGTTTTATCAGCAGCCGTTGTGGCCTTGAGGGGTTGGCAATAGTTTATCGAGTAGATATGGCCTAAGAAGCCTTCACTCCCTACCATCATCTCCCCTTCCCAGCCCCCTGCAATTGTAGCTAGTGAAACAGTGGTCCCCAAACACACAATGTGATCATAAGTTCATTTCAACTTCAAATGTCACATGATCCAAATGGACAGGCCCTCCGTCCCTTCTGCACATGATGCTTCAACACAATGAGAAGCATTTTTAAAAAGCAAACCAAAGAGGGGGTTAAATAAAACCCATGCTTGACAGTTTTAGAAAATGAATAATCCCAATGTGTACCGAAGAAAATAAAGGTAGTTTAGTAGTTCTGAGGGCTCATCTCAGTAGCATGCTTGTGGCTGGCTGAATTCATCCACGTTCACAATGGGGGTGGTGTGTGTGTGTGTGTGTTTGTTCAAAGGCCCCCAAAGAGCTACCTCTTGCAGATCTCTTTAGTAACCCACCCACACACCTATCCACACACGGAGAGTGGCAGGATAGGTTACTGCCCAAATTTCCACCACGGAAGAAACGATCATGCTTTTGGCAACACAACATGGACAGGTCTGTTACTGTCTTTTTTTCAGGTAGTCTGCTGTAGGCAGCAAAACGGATACAGTTTCTTCCTCCAGCAGCCCAAGGGAGGGTGTGAGCATGTTAAAACTCCACTGCACTGTGGGAAACAGAGGGGTGGGAGGAGAGGCATTAGAATACTAGCCCCGGTGAAGTAAATAGCAATATTCTTCCCAACTACAATGTCAGGATTTCATTCTGCTCCTTAGCACTCCTCACCCATCGATCGCAAGGCACATTGAAAAGGAAGCCTGGTGTCAGTCTTCATGTTACAGATGAGGAAACGGAGACGCACAGAGGTGAAGTGACATGCCCACGGTCACAAAGTAAGAATTAGAAATCAGGGTCCTAGATTCCCATTCCCATACCTGCTCTACCTGATGCTGCTCCCCCCTCACACTCCAACTCTACTGGTGTTTCAAGGCCAACACAAATTCAGCTCTGGCATTATCTTTAAAATAAATAAAAGTCTTTAGCAGCAAGCGGCAGGCTCGCTGTTGCAGACTTCCTGTTCTGCTACCTTCTAGCATCACAGCAGCCACAGACACTGTTGCCTGCACAATGGCAGAAAAACAGAAAGCCCAGAGTGTGAAGGGCCAATTTCTCACCTTAGCAGCAAATGAGTTTTTCCCCTTGCAAGAAGTGAAATTTTCAATGGCAACCAGCGCCGCCCCCCGCCCCCAGCAACCCTTTTGTGGGATAGAGGTGAGAAGGAACCATCCTGTAACATCAGGGACTAGACCATCAGCAGTTGTAAACCAGTGCAGCGCCGCTGGTCAATGGACCTATGCCAATTTACATCACCTGAGGATCTGACCCCATGGCTGTAATCCACCTTGTGGCTCTTGGAAATACATAGAAAGATTTTTAGCTCATCAGAAGCCTCTTGCTGATGGGGGGGAAGGAGATGCACACTATGATGTCAGGTTTCAGAGTAACAGCCGTGTTAGTCTGTATTTGCAAAAAGAAAAGGAGGACTTGTGGCACCCTAGAGACTAACCAATTTATTTGAGCATAAGCTTTCGTGAGCTACAGCTCACTTCATCTGATGCATACTATTACCAAGCTATTAGCAGCAGGAGAGTGGGGTGGGGGGAGAGAAAACCTTTTGTAGTGGTAAACACCCATTTTTTCATGCTTTGTGTGTATAAAAAGATCTTTTATACTTTCCACAGTATGCATCCGATGAAGTGAGCTGTAGCTCACGAAAGCTTATGCTCAAATAAATTGGTTAGTCTCTAAGGTGCCACAAGTACACTATGATGTGTTATTGGTACTGCCTCTCTCATTCCATGAGCAAGCACGTGTGTAAAATTACATCCCTGTTTTCATAACCTTGGCCAGGAAGTTCTTTCTTTGTGGGAGAGGGGAATCTTTTCCTTTGCGCTATTATTTCTATTAGGGTAGTACCTAGGAAGATCAAGGGCCCCATGTAAACTAGACTCTGTGCAGATAAGTCACAAAGATAGCCCCTGTTCTCAGAGCTTCTCTGCTACACAGAAGCACAACTCAATTGCTGAATAGTACTGCAAGTCAAGTTTCCCTCTTTAAAGCAATCACACTAAAACTTCATGCAAATGGAACTCCCCTCCAGTGAACACATGAAAAAAGATGTGAAGACAAACTTGGCTTTTACAGTGCATGTATCGTGGTTGGGAAGGTGCCTCCTTTTTGCCATCTGCTGGTAGAACAGCAGCATAGCAGAGATTCACTTCCTTTTTCTCCTCCCAGCCCCGCCCCGCCCCCCACCCCCTCATTTCCTTCCCCTGGGACTGGTCCTGCACAGGAGCCGAGAGAGAAGATTGTAAGGTTTGGTTTAATAGCCAAATTGGACACTGGGGGTAACGCACCTTTCTGAGGCCTAACAATAATTGGGGCACTCCTCAAATAGCTGCTGCAGCTCGCACTGCTCAGGTAGGCCCTGCGTTAGGAAACAGCCAGCCTTGCAAGAGTCCACATGTTGTTGAAGGTGGGATGTTGACAAGCACCAGCCTAAATTAGGAGCACACATCCCATTGACTTTCATGCTTATTTTTACATGCGGTTTGATAACGGAGAAGCTGCTGGACTTGTCCTAGGAAACTGTGGCCTCTCTGCAAGCCAGTTTCCTTATAGACTTATTTCTCTGCCCTGATGTTGTTACTAAGGCCATTTGTCAGGAAATGACAGTAGCTATTGCTGATGCTATTATCTTATTCCGGCTTATCTTATTCCACCCAGCCCAATCCTACTTCCAGTGATGTCTGTGGGAGTTTTGACATTATCTTCCAGGGGAGCAGGACCCGAAGTAGTTATCTGGTCCCTGTTACCAGCATGTTTATCTTCAACACTCCTGTGAGCAAGGACGTACTATTATCCCCCTCTTACAGATAAGGAACTGAGGCACAGTGAAACTAAGTAATCTGAAGTCTTGACAAGCAGGGCGGGGAATCAAACCCAGGTCTTTCAAGTCTAAGGCTAGTACTATACCCCGAAGATCACCCTTCCTCATGGGATCAGAGCCATACACTAGTCTTCCCCTTTGGTTCGGTCTACACTGACTTCTTTCCATCAAGTTTCCTCATTGCCACAGCTCCAGCAATGGTAGCGACAATGGGAGCACTAGTTTAGACAGACCACCAGCATTTTACTTCATGCTCAGAATGGGCCTAGCGAAGGTGGAGTTTATGACGCTTATAGCTACCAGCATCCTGCCTACGTTAGTGGCTACCAGCCGTGGAGATGAACTGGTGGCAACGTGACTGGGAAAAGTGACAAAAAATTGGACTGTAGATAAGGTCTACATGACAGAAGTGGCTACTACCGAGGAGTGTAATATTGCCAGCAGAGAGAGAGAGAGAGAGAGACTGAGACTTGGTCTACACCAAGGGTGGGCAAACTTTTTGGCCTGAGGGCCACAGCGGGGTTCCGAAACTGTATAGAGGGCCAGGTATAGTGTATTAAAATACACTACACCCGCGGAGGGAAGGCATGCCTCCCCAAACAGCCTGGCCCCTGCCCCCATCCGCCCCCTCCCACTTCCCGCCCCCGACTGTTCCCCTCAGAACCCCCGACCCCTCCAACTTCCCCTGTTCCTTGTCCCCTGACTGTCCCCTCCCGAGACCCCCTGCCCCTAACTGCCCCCCCTGGGACCCCACCCCCTATCCAACCCCCCTGATCCCTGTCCCCTGACTGCCCCAACCCCTATCCACACCCTCGCCCTAGACAGGCCCCCC